AAAAAAAAATTCATATTACTAGAACATATTGCTATTGAAGGAACTAGATACTGTTCCGAAATATCACTTACTCGAACCGTCCTGACCGCATAGCTCAGTTGGAAGAGCATTGGGCTAGTATTCCAAAGGTCGTAGGTTCGAATCCCACCGTGGCCGGGCACATTTTTCAAGCTCGCCCGGTGTGGATATACACTCAGAGTAACACCACAAATATCATATTCACCTGAGTACACTACACCAACACAGAAAAAAAAAAAATCATATTACTAGAAAACATTGGTATCGAAGGAACTAGATTCTGTTCCGAAATATCACTTACTCGAACCGTCCTGACCGTGTAGCTCAGTTGGAAGAGCATTGGGCTGGTATTCCAAAGGTCGTAGGTTCGAATCCCACCGTGGCCGGGCATATTTTTCAAGCTCGCCCGGTGTGGATATACACTCAGAGTGACACCACAAATATCATATTCACCTGAGTACACTACACCAACACAGAAAAAAAAAATCATATTACTAGAAAACATTGGTATCGAAGGAACTAGATTCTGTTCCGAAATATCACTTACTCGAACCGTCCTGACCGCGTAGCTCGGTTGGAAGAGCATTGGGCTAGTATTCCAAAGGTCGTAGGTTCGAATCCCACCGTGGCCGCGCATATTTTTCAAGCTCGCCTGGTGTGGATATACACTCAGAGTAACACCACAAATATCATATTCACCTGAGTACACTACACCAACACAGAAAAAAATTCATATTACTAGAATACATTGGTATCGAAGGAACTAGATTCTGTTCCGAAATATCACTTACTCGAACCGTCCTGACCGCGTAGCTCAGTTGGAAGAGCGTTGGGCTAGTATTCCAAAGGTCGTAGGTTCGAATCCCACCGTGGCCGGGCATATTTTTCAAGCTCGGCCGGTGTGGATATGCACTCAGAGTAACATCGCAAACATATTATTCACCTGAGTACACAACACCAACACAGGAAAAAAAATTCATATTACTAGAACATATTGGTATTGAAGGAACTAGATACTGTTCCGAAATATCACTTACTCGAACCGTCCTGACCGCATAGCTCAGTTGGAAGAGCATTGGGCTGGTATTCCAAAGGTCGTAGGTTCGAATCCCACCGTGGCCGGGCATATTTTTCAAGCTCGCCCGGTGTGGATATGCACTCAGAGTAACATCGCAAACATATTATTCACCTGAGTACAGAACACCAACACAGAGAAGAAAAAAATTCCTATTACTAGAACATATTGGTATTGAAGGAACTAGATACTGTGCCGAAATATCACTTACTCGAACCGTCCTGACCGCGTAGCTCAGTTGGAAGAGCATTGGGCTAGTATTCCAAAGGTGGTAGGTTCGAATCCCACCGTGGCCGGGCATGTTTTTCAAGCTCGCCCGGTGTGGATATGCACTCAGAGTAACATCGCAAACATATTATTCACCTGAGTACACAACACCAACACAGAAAAAAAATTCATATTACTAGAACACATTGGTATTGAAGGAACTAGATACTGTTCCGAAATATCACTTACTCGAACCGTCCTGACCGCGTAGCTCAGTTGGAAGAGCATTGGGCTAGTATTCCAAAGGTCGTAGGTTCGAGTCGGGCCGTGGCCGGGCATGTTTTTCAAGCTCGCACGGTGTGGATATGCACTCAGAGTAACATCGCAAACATATTATTCACCTGAGTACAGAACACCAACACAGAGAAAAAAAAATTCATATTACTAGAACATATTGGTATTGAAGGAACTAGATACTGTGCCGAAATATCACTTACTCGAACCGTCCTGACCGCGTAGCTCAGTTGGAAGAGCATTGGGCTAGTATTCCAAAGGTTGTAGGTTCGAATCCCACCGTGGCCGGGCATATTTTTCAAGCTCGCCCGGTGTGGATATGCACTCAGAGTAACATCGCAAACATATTATTCACCTGAGTACACAACACCAACACAGAAAAATTCATATTACTAGAACACATTGGTATTGAAGGAACTAGATACTGTTCAGAAATATCACTTACTCGAACCGTCCTGACCGCGTAGCTCAGTTGGAAGAGCATTGGGCTAATATTCCAAAGGTCGTAGGTTCGAATCCCACCGTGGCCGGGCATATTTTTCAAGCTCGCCCGGTGTGGATATACACTCAGAGTAACACCACAAA